TAGTATTTTGTCTCTTTCCTCACATTCATTTCATTTGCTTAGAAGCACGGCGTTAGAGCTATGGTTTTGCATAAGATTTCACTCTTCTTATTTTTTTCATGTCTTTCTCTTTCACATAGTTAAAAACACCTTATTATACTTGCACCTAAGGATATGGATTATAAATCCAAGTGGAGAGATTATAGACAATTGCATATTTGCGTATAGCACACAAAATATGAAAAAAAATAGTGCAAAGTATAATAAGTAAAAATATTGGACTGATTTATTACAATTGTGTAATGTCAATAACAATATCATATTACAGCCACATCACCATGTCGGTAATGAGTAAAAATAGAATATGCTTAAAACTGTTTAAATTTTTACAACACAATTACATGTACTCATTAGGAGTTACACCATAGAAATTCTAGCTTCTCCCAACTTGCATGTAGCCTCACTGCCATACGACAGCGGGCACTTTAATTCAGGATGCGTCACAATTCACTTTTCCACATTGTAGAAACTGAAGCAAATACCGTGAGCGCAGTTGTACTCGCTCATTGCGCCACCAATAAAGGTGTGATGCTGATTCTAAAGGGCACATGAGCTAGTCCACGACCTAGCGCGCCGGATGGGGGATTGAGCATGTCAGGCAGCGCATGCAGCAGCGAGCATGGGACAGTCGGAAGAGGCAAATGAGACTGGAAGGTAGCTAAGGCATTAGTGAGCTAGTGGTGAACAGGGGATCTGACATGGTGTCTTATTTGTTCATGTTGGTTAAGTCCTTGATGGTGCGAGATCGCAAGAGTCTGCATAGGTTGTACGGACGGCTGTATGTGGCAAGTGGTCTAGGCAAGAAGCTGGGTGGTGACAAAGGAATGCGATGTAGAGAGGGCTCTATGTGGCAAAGTCATGGTTCAACATGCCAGACACCAGTCTTTCGATGTGAGGGTGGCAGCGTTTGTTGGCCCAGATGAGTTGAACTAGTGGGGTTGGTTTAGCTAGCATTGTTATATTGGTAGCACTGCTGTTGGTGCGATGGCTGTGAGCTACGGCGGTCGTCCTGCACGGTGGCCGTGAGATATGGCATCACATATGATTTTGTGCAGTAAAATAAAATGATTACATGATAGCATGGTTAGTGTCTAGGGCATACCTGGTTCCTGCCTCCGGGGCGGCGGCAGAACATGCTTACCAAGAAAAGGCCTTTTGCGCCTACTGAACATGAAATTGAATGGATCTCGCACAAAATACTTGTGTGCTACAAAAGTGTTTGCAGTAGCAAGTGTTGTGAACATATTAACAACATTTTAATAACAACCAAAGTTAAGATAAAAGAACCGTACTGTAAAGTTCTATGTTGTCGTTTAAGATATCATACATGCCATCTAGATCAGCCCCAAAAATTTCCTAGAAGTGTCATAAAAATATGCAGGTCAATAATAAATTTAAGCAACCGAGGTGAACATGAATAAGCTAAATATCAAAGCCATACTTCTGCAAAACATCAATTAATCATGACAATTAATGACATAAACGGAACGCCTGCGACTGGAGCATATGGAATGAAAGGCATCCATACAGTACCTCTTGAATTGTGCCTTCATCGTTTCGCTTCTGCTCATCAGCCCCATCCTCTTGTTCCTGGCCATCTGTCTCCATCTTCTCAGCTTGAGCTTCCTCTGATGCTTCAGCCATGTTAGTATCAGGCTTGGTGATCACATAGTACTCAGCAGGAACTTGGGCACTGCTCAATGCCGATCACAATGACAACAAGAGTGTCAGTACAAAGCACCAGAGCTAAAAGACACAGCATGTTGCCTTTTCAAGCCTTGTAACTTCATCAAGTGTCTGAGAGTATACGATAGCAGCCTACAAATGAAAGAACTTGTTAAACAGAAATTCACAGCCAGATGTATTACAAAGGAAAACAGAGGATACTGACACTGTTGACACGACCTAAGATACAGTAACTGAGAACAAAAGATGCCTCGGTAACTGGGATGAACAGAACATATAAATAGGGGTTCAGTAAATGATCTGACCATATTTTATTCCCTGAATGCAACAGTCAAGTATTCCCTCCGTTCAGAATTACTTGTCACAAAAATGGATGTATCTACAACTAAAATACATCTAGATACATTCATTTTTTGGACGAATAATTCCGAACGGAGGGAGTAATAGGGGTTCTACTCAACTTGCAATAATGACATGAACAGGCTGTGCTCATATTAGAAAGAGGGAGTCAGTACCTTGATAGCTGTGATTTGTGCAGGCGCTGGAGCAACTACTTTAGGGCCCTGGTCTTTTGTGGTACCTTGAGCATCCATCATTACTGAAGTATAAGCTTTGGCAGCAACCTTCTTTGGCGCCTCCTCTGCCTCCTTTGAGTGGAACATTTGTGCTGCTTCGGTTCTCTCCTACAGGAAAATAAAATCTCACAGAAAATTTCAGAGACAGACACAAAACCAGGGACACCAGATAGTGCTAATAAATATGATAGCCAAAAAGCATTGAATGGCATTCATGCATCTAATTCACAGAAATTCAGTTAAAGAGTTGCTCTTTCACCCAAATTTGTAGGCAAGATGGTATGTGAATAAAAAATGTGTTGGTCCACACATCAAATTGAATAGTATTCGCTAGATACCTTCTCTTCTAAGAATTTTGTCCTTAGCATCACATGTGTACAAATAAACTATACATACCGAATGACTAATGGCCATGAAGCCAAATCTAACAAATAGTAACCAGATGTTTAAAGAAAGGTAGTCGATAAACAGAAATAACTTGGCATGCTGAAGCCAGTCAAGGGAATGAAGGTTTACCTCTGGATGTGCAACAACATAGTCATACTTCTTCCATGTTTCTTCATCTTTAAGTGCCTGACAAATAAAAATGTAGAAACACTCAAGAACCAAGCAGAAACTGGAAGTGCCATATTACGAAAATAGCAGTCATGTTGAGCAGGGCAGACGAAAACAGCAGTCAACACAACATCAATGTGCTCCGTGAAATGAAACTCTTCGTAAGTTTCATAGCCTAAATGATGAAATAGTTCAATTTCTTCATGCATGACCAATAATAATTCAATGCATAACTACAAATTCCATATGAAAACTGCAGACTTCAGAGTGGAACTACCAATCAGAGTCAGAGGGTAACATGCGTATTACGGTGAAAATTCCAGTGAGCTTCAAGCCTCCAACTACATGCTCGATAGCCTAAACTAATGTATGTGACATCACCATCGGAAAACTGTTTCTTCCAGAAGAGGTCGTAGGCGGGTCAGGGTGGGGGATAGTGCCTATCCCACCTAAGCGCATGCCTACCATGGTTAAGTGCTTCTGTTGGCGCCTAGTCACGCTTTTTCTTTGCTCTAGTACCCACTGTTCTGAATTGTGCAACACTAACGAATGAATTCTGTAAATACACTGGCGAACAGGCTGTGCACATATTAGAAAGAGGGAGTCAAGTACCTTGATAGCTGTGATTTGTGCAGGCGTTGGAGCAACTACTTTAGGGCCCTGATCTTTTGTGGTACCTTGAGCATCCATCACTACTGGAGTATAAGCTTTCACAGCGACCTTCTTTGCCGCCTCCTCTGCCTCATTTGAGTGGAACTTTTGTGCCGCTTCAGCTCTCTCCTACAGAAACACAAAATTTCATACAAAATTGCAGAAACATACACAAAACCAGGCACGGCAAATAATGCTAGTGAACATGCCAACCAAAAAACATTCAATGGCATTCAAACATAGAAACCAGGCAGAAAATGGACATCATGGTAACAATAAAACATTTGAAGTAAATATCAAGCCCATACCAAACATGCCAGTAAAAGACCTGGCCATATTTTTTTCAGAATGCAACTGTCAAGTAATAGGGGTTCTACTCAACTTGCAATAATGATATTAACAGGCTGTGCACATAATAGAAAGAGGGAGTCGAGTACCTTGATAGCTGTGATTTGTGCAGGCGTTGGAGCGACTACTTTAGGGCCCTGGTCTTCTGTGGTACCTTGAGCATCCATTACTACTGGAGTATAAGCTTTGGCAGCAACCTTCTTTGCCGCCTCCTCTGCCTCATTTGAGTGGAACTTTTGTGCTGCTTCAGGTCTCTCCTACAGAAACACAAAATCTCATACAAAATTTCAGAAACAAACATGAAGCCAGGAAGACCACATAATGCCAATAAACATGCCAACGGTAAAACATTCAATGTCATTCATGCATCTAATTCACAGATATTCAGTTAAAAGAGTTGCTCTTTCCCCCTTTTGCTGCCAGCACTTCTGCACTCAAGTCTAAAATCACTTTGGAAATCATTCCAAAGGAAATGAATGAACTTGTGAGAAATAAACCAGCAAATCAAGCAGCGACATGATTATAAATCAACGATTCCTAGTTCCATTAAAAAGGAACTGGAGAAAATTATAATAAGAAAGAGTATTAACTGCTGAGAGTACTCATAAACTGTCAATTAATGACAGGTACTCTTTTCTTTTAGAAGTCCTAAGAATTTTCTTGACTTGATACTCTTTTCTTAAAATAAGCATATATGTGTTGTTTTCAACTAATATACCCCTTCACTCAAAATAAGCATGACTTAAAGGCTAAAGCAGACATAATTTATTCATTATCATAAATCCGTAAACCACATAATATTGCAATGCTGATTCATTTTGACCTTGTTTGAACTAACTCATATCTTAGACAATGAAAACATATATTGGCAGGTGTATGTGGGCCGTCAATACATGTAAAATATTATGTTCAGACATTATATCACTAGATTTCTGGGTTTATTAGAAAAGAAAATTCACAAACTGTTGGTTTCCCGTATATGAAGAACCAAGCAAAGTTCAATGCAAAACAGTTGCACACAAATGGTAAATGATGTTTCATCATTAAAGGAAATGCAAACATAGGATGATGACTTTAGAAACTATGATTAGCTATCAAATGAGAGAAAACTGCAGCAAAATTAAACAGGTGTCATTCAGAACAAAATCATTGGCACTATGCAGAAGTATATTTGGACAACATGACAATCAAGAAATCAAGCCTGACTACAGATGATTCAAATATCAAACATAATTGTGTTATCAAGAATTTGGTGGTTGCTAACCTGTTGATTCACTTTCTTGAAGTCCAGCAAACGCAGATGCTTCAGTTTGTGGATCACATATAACCGGTAATCTGGTTGCTTAGTTACGGTATTATCCAGTAAGCTGAGAAATTGCAGCTTTGGAAGAGAGGCCAAGGGGTCAATCTCCGCAAGACTTGTAAGGCGATTGTTCGTCAGCACCAAAGTATGCATCTTGGGTAAAAACTCTACATGACACGAAAGCAAAGAGAATTGAAGAAACAGACAAGCTATGGAGCAGATTATGAAAGTGACAGAAGCACATGGCAACAAGACAAGATATTGTTCCTCTTACCACCAAGGTTGGGATTGATACATGTTATTTTGTTGTTGTTGATTAACAGAGTGCCAAGGCGATTCATGAAAGGGAAATTCTCGAGCCTCACAATCTCGTTGTCCGACAAATCAATCATATCAAACTGGTCCTGTTATTAAAAAAGGAACAAAGACAGTTATAAACACAACTAGAGAAGGAACTGGAGAACTATAAAACAATTCAAAATGAGATAAAGAAATCCCTATGATTTCAATTTCAAATCAAGCTAAAAAATTTAAATATTAAGCAATCCCTAATAAGAAAATAGCCAGGAGGTGTGTCACTCATAGTAGAATCAGTACCAGAAAGTAGGCTGGTAACACAATAACAAGCTACTATGTATGCACAGCTCATAGTGAAGAGTACTTTATTTTTAAGGCGAAAGGTCTCCAGATTCACCACTATTATAATATGTACCTCTTGTAAAATTACTACAAGATGCAGTCCAATACTTCATTCCTCCCAGCCTTAAGCTGGCATAGCAGTGTGTAAAATCCACTATTCTGAACTGTAACAGCAAGATCAGCACTGTTCGGCGGACACTACGCTAAAATGCTCAAACAGTACCTATATCACGACTTGCAACCCCAGCATAACATTGCGTAGCAAGCACTGATAAAGGCAAAACCCCTGCTTATAACATGGGTAAGGATTATGAACCCACCAGCAGAGATGTTACAGCATCGAATTACCAACAGAAATATTCCCAGCAGTAACGTCTGCTAACTTGACAAGGCAACCACAGCATTACCACTCCCAGCCTCTGTGCCACTTCAATTTGCAGCCAAGCAAATCGATAAGCAGAGCACTAAAGGCGTCGTGACCAAGTATATAAACACTCCTAACAGCAATTTCTTCTACATGCACACAGCTCCACAGTGGAGAGCACTTTATTTCTGGGGGAAAGGTCTCCAACCTCACAGGTATAATATGCAGCTGTTGCAAAATAACTAATAAAGTGCATAAAACCCATTATTCAGAGAGTCAAAAACAAAACGACCACTGTTAGGAGGCACACACTGCACAAAATGCTCAAATTATCACGACAGTGCTTGCAACCCTAGCGAAACATCACCAGTTTCGCCCCGAATCAATCGCAGCAGCATTTCCCCTCCGAATATCAGTTATCAATTGCAGAGTTATCAGCCAACGCATTATCAGTAGCTATCTAGCGCCGACAGTTCCTCTTCGTACCCGTTCTAAGGGTGCACCAGTTTTCGTACAGCACGAATCCACCCGGAACACCCGCCGTAGCTGCTACTTGGAATAGGAAGGAAAGGTACGGCACGGGAGCCCGTGGTGCGGCGGAGCTCACCTCGGTGGCGCCGAGGTTGTCGATGAAGGCAATCTTGTTGCCTGCCGCGGCAGAGGAGGAGAAGACCAGTGGAACCGGTTAGACAGGGGAGAAAAATCGAGAACCCTAGATCTGAAGCAAGGGAAGGGGAGGGGGAGGGGGCGGGGGCGCGGGGAGGGAAACCTCGGAGGTCGAGGACGCGCTCCTTGATGGCGCTGAGGAACTGGGGGCTCCGCCGAATCAGGTCGGCGCTGAGCCTCGCCATGGCGCCGCCGCGGCGTCTGGCGGCGCGGTAGCCCTGCGGCGTGGGCGCGCCGCGGCGGTGGCGTGCCCTTCGCTGCCGCCTGCGGCTTGCTGCTGTCTGTTTGAAATGAAGCAGAGGACTGGCAACGGAGAGAAGAAAGGGTGGAAAACTGGGAGGGAACCTGGCCGTGGAGAGTTTTTTTAAGGTGACCTGGCCGTGAGACTGGGGACGCAGGGAGACACCACGCTGTCGAATTGGATTTGGCTGGGCTGGCCAACTCACTATGGTTTTCGGCCTTCCGACACTCGAGGCCCGATACACATCCTCCCCCTTCTTCCAAAAAAAGAAACATGAAATCATTAATTAGAGTATTCTTTGCAAAGGTCTCTCCCACCTTCCCGTCACTTATCCTGAGAGTTTTCTTTTTTTTTCATAGGTCCGTAATGTTTACTCTTAAACCGTGCGTCCAAATCTTAAACCATTCTCACCGTTGTATTTCTCGTGTCGACATCTTCAAAACTAGATCCCATGTTGATAAGTTTTGAGAAAAAATAATTCATAAAAAAATGAACAAAAAAACCGAACCGAAAGCACATTTTTTTATTCCTTTTCGAATGAGGCACGATTGTGCCTCTCGCCGAAGTATACAAAAGATAAGTTTTTTCGTTTTTGAGAAGCGTGGCCGTGCCATTCGTGAAAGCAAATCCGTGCCTTTCGCGAAAGCAAATCCATGCCTCTCGCGGAAGCAAAAGAAAAAAAATCATTCAATTTTTTTTATTTTTTGTCCAAAAGCTAAGAAAGACCAGTGAAAAGCCAGAAAAATAAAATAAAAAATAACATCTAAAGAGCTGAAAACGCGTGGGAAAAATAAATAAGAGAGAGCGTCCAGAGCACGACACGTGGTGGCCCTTGCGGGGGCTTCCGAAGGAGTACTCCTTCGTTAGTTGGTCCAAAAAAACACCATCCTTCTCCGAAAAAGGGTATATATGGAGGACAGGCTCCATGTTTCTCAAATACCACACCTATCTGCATCTAATAAAAATCAAAAGATTCTGAAAAAAAAATCAAAAAAATGTACATACACATATACATGTAGACTACATATGTTCAAAATTTTATAACAATATATTTGCATACGTGCCATGCAAAAAAGACAAATATGTGTATAAAATGGGCCATTGTTTTTATTCCTGGGCCAAGATTTTGTCTTTTTATTTAGCTTACAAATAATTATATTTTCAAAGGATTTTATCAGTATATAACACATACAAGTATTCATAAAAAAGCAAACTTTTTTAGTACGCTTTCTGATCCCTTCTTTCAACTAGTAAGCTTGCACGTGCAACGCACGTCTCTGCTAATGCTCTTTTCGAAGATAAATCCACTCCCAATCAAATACACCTTGTCTACATGTCTCGTACCACCGTATACTTATAGTTGTTGATGGTAGTATAAGATGACACACACACAAAATACAGCCAAGGTAACATTCATCATATAGGCCCGAAACCATGTTTTCAGGCCCTTACATCTAGCACGGGAGGTTCAAAGTTGTTTTATGTCATTTTTTTTCATAACTTGTCTCCATATAAATAGAGGTCATTGATGGTACTTTCAAAGACTGAACATTTTGATTTATCACAAACTACATAAAATAGATATGTGTGAACACCATGTATTTTGGGATCAATGTTGCAACTTGCAAATTATACCTTTTCTCCCCAAGAAATTTACAAAGGTATGCATCAATGTTTGATTCTGCAATGTCAGATGCCAAGAAAGCACTCGTACATTTTCAAGGCAACATTATTTCCAATCAAACGTCATGCACATTGCCTGGCTTCTTTACCCTGGAGATGAATTCATCCAGAGAATCTTGTAGACCATCCATCACATTGTTTTGCCTGCAATTCCAGTATGTACAAGTACAACACCATTCAACAGGGTGCACATGCACAGAAAAAGAAGTAAAAGAGACAAGTTGGGAGTTGTACATTACTAACTGAAAATGATCTTTTATCCATTTTCTTAAAAGATTCCCTTATTGTTGATTCTTCTTGGTAAGTAAAAGTAGGAAGACAAGATTGTGGTGGAAGGTTTTCTTTCTTGTTCTCTCTCCCTGTGAACTGTAGGAGTGATAAAATGGTTTATTTTCCTTTAAGCAGTAAAATTTTACTTGAGCACACAAGTGAAAATATTTTAATTTAGAATCTATAAATAATGATACTGTTTGCTTTGGGTAAAAGGATTGCGAAGTATTGGTTGAGGCGCGGTCTGTATTTCATTTCTATGGTTCCACAAATGATAGAAGCAAAAATCTCTCATTAATTGATGGTCGGACTTCTTAGATTCAGGTAAGCTGAAAAATCAAAAAACAATCAAGAGAACACAGTATTTACTATTTTGGAAAAAAAGAACGTCAATCTTGTTCACATTTAATGAGAGCAATCTCCAGTTCTCTCTAAGTGCTTAAAAGGCAGTGAAACATGTGTGAATGAAAAAAGAATATACATAGTAGATATAAACTTTAACCGTTGGCTATGTTTGTTCACTTATATTATCACAATAAGTAAATGTATCTTGTTGTCCATAAATAAAGCAAAACATATCATGTGTCGAAGTATATGCTAATTATGAAATAAATGCCAATCATGTAATCAGATATGATAAGCACACAAGCAAACATAAATGGAATGACATGGCATGAAATCTCTAGCCAGGTTTTCTTTTTAATACCCGGAAGAAGAATCTGGCTGGTCTCTTTCAATTGCACCTCCAACTTTGTTCGGTGACAGCGACGTGGAGTTTGGACAAGATTCCCTGGGAGCATAAGAGAAATCATGAGGAAATTATTTTTACCTATGCAATAGTTCAAACATGCTCCTATTGATCAGTACTAAGATGAAGCCCTGCAATTTGGTGTTGCTACATAAAAGGACAGCTAAAATGATCATCGAGAACATTCTACTGATCCTTCTATTTTCTGGAATGACATCAAGAAGTAACTTCCTGGAATGGTATGACATTTCTAGTACTTAGGAATCTATTATCCTTTTCATTTTATAGGCATATATTCTATCACGCACAACCCGATCCTTCTGTTTTCTGTTCAAGAAAAGTGAACTCCAGTATGAATCTGATTTATCATCATCTTCTAATAGTAAAATTGAATTCTCAAGCAGTATAAAAGAAAGCATGACTAAAAGTTATTTTCAAAAAAGCATGACCAGAAAAAATAGGAACCGCAAACTATCACTAGTAGGAAACCGGGCAATAGCACCGGTTCGTAAGGCCCTTTAGTGCCAGTTTAGGAACCGGCACTATTATTTCGGCACTAAAGGCCCTCCCCCTTTAGTACCGGTTCAGCACGAACCGGTGCTAAAGGGGTACCACGTGGCACGAGCCAGCTCCGGGGGCCGGGAGCCCTTTAGTACCGGTTGGTAGAACCAACCGGTACTAAATGGTTGTGGGTTTTAGTTTTATTTTGTATTTTTCAATTAAATTTGTGGTATCAATTTAATTTAGGATTGTTTTACGTTATAATGAGTTGTAGTCGTCG